AGTGTCTCTCTTTGATTTTTGGTGTTTCGTAAACTTTTGGTGCGTGAAATTGATGGGTTTATGGCCTTGAAATGTGGTTTATAGAAGAAAGAACCGACAAGCAACAATTATAATGTATAAAAAGTTGGTATTTAAGATTTTCTAAGCTTATTACAAAAACTCTTTCTCCATAATTAAAAGAACACTTAATACAAAAATAATTATCTAAATTATACTTTAATTCTTCAAATGATGTCTAATTTTTTAAGGTCAATTCAGATATTTAGCATCATCAACATTATCATTTTACGTGTCTGATCTGTAACGGACGTTAAATTTTACTTTTAAATAATACATGTTACATTCAGGTAATTTTAAAAAATTTATTTAAAATAAAAAAATTTAAAATTATATTTTTTTAAAAGTCCAAAATTTTTTATAAAAAAATATTAAACAACCTTCCCAAACTCTAAAAACCCTAAATCTAAGCCTTACATCGACGCCCATTGTCGTCGTTTGAACTTCCAACCAGTCACACCTCCATTGACGATCAATTACCCGATAAACAATCATCATAACAACAATCGACAAACCCTAAATCACAATGAAGAAAGCTACCAGAACGAACCTAAATTGTGACTCCACGACAAGGACGCCGCCGTCCAACTACGAAGATGATAAGGACGGCAGCGACGACAGTGAATGTGGCCGGAAAGGGAGGTAAAGTTAGGGTTAGGTTAGGGATTTGGGGTTTTTTTTGTAATTTTTGAGAAATTATGATTTTTTTTAAATATAATAATATTTTTAAATCTTTTTAAAATTAAAACTTTCAAAATTAGCAGAACACGACGCATGTCAAAGTTTTTTAGCGACTATTACGGAAGAGGCACCTAAAGTGATAATGTTTGTAACGCTAGGCTCGTGGATTGATCGAAAAAACATTTAGGCACCACTTTAGGAAAAACGATATAGTTTAAACACTTATTTGTATATTAAGCCTTGAAAGAAATATTTTCTTTTCTGAGGTTTTGGATTTGAGTAGTTGTATCTGTAAAGTATGTATGTATGTATGCGTTGTCAATTACTAAGAAAAATCTTAAACACATATAACCTTGTAATCACCCTAGATACTCAATAATAATAATAATAATAAGTTTATTACAAAAATTAATGGCATATTTTTAACATTTTTTCTGAAATTATTTTAGATAACATGTACATTTTTAACTTTAGATTTCATGCATGTATCTATATTCTTTAGAGGATTTCGTTTATTAAAAAAAAATAAAACATCTAATATATAATAAAAATAATTTGTAATTTTCAATATATTATTATTACATAGTGAAAGTTAAAAGTACATAAAACCTCAACAAAATCCAAATAATAATTAGTATTATAATTATAAGATTTGCTAATTAATAGCATAGACAACTTCCTTAAACGTATTTCAAAATATTATTTATCTTAATATTAATTTTTTATAATTATTGAGATTTAATTTATTAATTAATTAATCTTGAACTATTAAAATATTTATCAATATTTTATTTTAATGCAAAAATATTTAGAACCATAAAATATACCCTTTTTATAAAAATATCTAAAACTATCCATTTTTAACAAGAACTACCGAAAATAACTCATATTACAGTCTTTCAAAAAAATATCTTCCATTTGAAAAATTCTACGACGTTTGTCGAGCATAAATGAGCATAGTTAATGGTAAGTATCATTAAATTAATTTATAAAATGTTAAATTATAAAGTACTAAACAAATAATTATAAATTAGTTAAAATCTAAATGTAATTTAATTAAAATAAAATATTTATAAAACATTAGTTTTTAGGGTAAGTTATACCATTGACCACCTAACTATTTATCCTTTTTACTTTAACCATCGATTTTTCAATTTTATCAATCAGGTCGCCTAACTATTTAAATCTTATCAATCAAGCCACCTGACGTTAAATATTAACATATGAGATGATGTGGCAGTTAATAAAATTTCTATAATTACACATTTAGTCCTCATTACTTACACATTCTATTAATTTGGTCTTAACTTTTAATTAATTCAATAAATTTAATCCTCAATTTGATGGTGACATGTGTTACTATGTTATTGAATTTTTTTTCTTAATATTTTTATTTAATTTAATAAATTTTTCATCCAATCAAATGATACCACGTGCACCAATAAATGAATGGAGAAAGCAAACACCCCAACCACTGGCCTACATCATTTAAATGATAGACTTATCACGACATAATATATATAGTTAATGGTAATAAAAAAAGAGAAAATGACCTAATAAGAACTCGAACATAGAATAATTGAATAATACGATAATATGATATATATATACACAAATATTATAACTGATTAATATGTGAATTTATTTTATTTATATTTTAAATCATTTTAATAAAAATAACAATAATTTTAATATATTATAATTGAAATATAACGAAGAGCTTCGTTTACTTAGAATTTTTCTGATAGTTGAGTGTTTATTGTAGTAAGCATTTTAACTTATGCATTGACTTGTTTATATCACGGTTAGAGTAAGAATTTTATATTTTATTATTTATTCATTATATATATGAAGAAAATTTTAGGGGAAACTTTATTTTATTGAATTAGTCTATTTTAATGTAGAGTTGTTAAATAAAATTAGAATCCGATCGATGTTATAATATTTTAAAATATAAGATTTGATACATTTCAGTTAAATAAAATTAGAATAATGAAGACAATTTATTAATTTAAAATATGTGAAATGATACAGTACAATTATAACATATTAAATTCACTTTATTTAGTTTTTTATTAAATGTGATTTAAAATATAAATAAAACATATTCATTTATTAATCAATTATAATATTTGTTTATATATATTTATATTTATATTTTCATACTATTCAATTATTTCATGTTTGAGTCATTATAAGGTCATTTATTACCATTAACTATATTATAAATTATATAGATTATGTTATGTATACTAGACAAATTTAGTGGTCCAGCAGGTTTAAACCACACTAGCTGCGGTTATTGATTTAATTTATTTTTCATTCATTCAATTGGTGACACGTGACACCATTTGATTGAATGGAAAATTTATTAAATAAAAAAATATTAAAACAACATCCAATCACACAGTTACACGTGTCACCACCGAATTGAGGATTAAATTTATTGAATTAAATAAAAGTTAAGACCAAATTAATAGAATGTGTAAGTAATGAGGACTAAATGTGTAATTATACATATTTTATTAATCGCCACATCATCTCTTCAGTTAATATTTAACGGAAGGTGGCTTGATTGAGAAGACTTAAATAGTTAGGTGACCCGATTGATAAAATTGAAAAATCAGTGGTTAAAATAATAGGGGTAAATAGTTTGGTGGTCGATGGTATAATTTACCCCAAAAACTAATGTTATAAAAATATTATATTTTAATTAAATTACATTTAGATTTTTAACTAATATATAATTATAAGTTTATTAATTTATAATTTAATGTTTTATAAATTAATTTAATAGTGTTCATCATTAACTGTGCTCATCCGTGCTCGTCAACCGTGACAACATCATCCCTTGCATTTTTAATTTCACCATAGTTAAGCTTATATTAAAAATTGAAAAAAAAAGTATACTATTTTTATATATTTTTATAATTAAATTTAAATAATATTTTAATTGCTAATAATATAAAAAAATCCAACCAACTCCAACTAAATTCAATCTAAATGTAATAAAATCCATTTTTTTTTAAAATAATTTGGAGTAAGTACAAGGTAATATATGTTCAAAGATAACTCTCAACTCTTTGATATTGAATTTTCATACCCCTGACATTCATAATACTAAAACTCGAGACCTAAAAGAGTAACAACAATTCTATTACCATCGAAATCACTTGATTCGCGCTCAAAATCCATTCTAAATGTAATAAATCGCACAACTAATATTAGTAAATGAAGTGGAGTTTGGCAATGAATTTAATAAAATGTTAAGAAATTAGGTAAAATTATTGAAAGAAAATTAATGTGTAGTGAGTATGGGTCCCACAAGATTTCAGGCTTTAATGGGGGAAAGGTTAGGATCCGATAATTTCGGTTGGAATTTTAAGATCCGATCGCTCCAACTATGTTCTAGTTACTAGTTATGGTTAAAATCTTAATTATAAGATAGACATGTTATCGATTATTAAAAAATTATAAATATATATTATGCAGATATTTATATTATCAATTACTAAAAAATATTATAAATATTTATTAAAAAAACCTTATAACTTAGTTTTATTAAAATAATTTCATATGAAATAAAGTAGATTAGCTATGAGGGCCCATATGTTTAAACAAATCTTCATTGTAATCAAGTGGAAGAAACCTAGGATTTCACATATCCAACCAAACAATTTATATTATTATTATTATTATTATTATTATTCATAAAAATCTAGAACGAGGGTGGTCAAGTGATTAATTTTTCCCTTCACTCTTTTTTTTCTCTATTAAACGCACTGTATTTTAAAAAAAGTTACTATTTTGGAGATATTATTCATAAAAAAGTAGTTGAAAAAATCATATTAATATAAAATCGATTATTTTGTACATGCATTATGCTATATATTCTAAATAATAACTTTATAATCTCCATCCATACTAACGAATTATTAGGCGTAAACTTTACTCTTTGTTATTTTAAAATCATTATTAGTATAAATTCCACTTCTCAATTCTTTTTGGATTAGATGAGCTACATGCATGTTATTTCATTATTATTATTATTATTATTATTATTATTATTTGTTTGACAATTACATTTCCCTTTCGGATTTCAATAATAATTGAAAAAAGAAAAATAGAAATATGAAAACAATAAAAATTCATTGACATTATTATATATGCTGCCCTAAAAAATGTTGCATTTTTAAAAGAAGTTACTCTAAAATATTCAAAAGAGACCGCTTTATCAATCCCCTGGGTCCATCTCTACACGCTTATTCAGCAACTACTATGACACAATGTGGCACCGGCATGACAGTGTTGGGATGATGTTGGAGTGTTTCCTGTCGGATAGTATCTGGTTGTTTGGGTAAGACTGTAGCATTACTCTTCCTAAAAGATGCGGCCTTGCCTAATTCATTTACTGCTTCAGAAATTTTCTCAATGCACTCAATGATTTCCGGCAGAAGTGATGCAACTGAAGCAGCTGGTATAATCTCTAGTAAATCTGCTTCTTCTGCCCACAGGTTTGTATTGAGGACGTTTTTGAGCTCTTCAGCAGCCTTCTTTGAGCTTTCTATGTGTACAATAACTGATCTTGTTTGAACCATTTTTCGAAATGTCGACGCCATTTCCTTCAAAGCTCGGCTACATTCTAGGCTAACCCTTTTGCACGGCACTTGGATTTTGCCACGGATTTCTGCTGGAGTCTAAATGAATGATAGTGTTATTTCGGGACCTTTTCGTTTAATGTTATGTTTAAACTTGGTAAATTATGGAATTTATTATACCTGGATTTTACAGTTAAGGTAGCTGTTAAGAGCTTCAAGTTTATAAGCACATTCCCGAGTAAGGTTTCCGACTTTGAGGTACATTTCCCATGGATGACGGTACCCGAACGGACCATGACCCGGTTCCCATCTTGCAAAATTAGCCTGCAGGGAGAGAATCCAGACTGAAATATTGAATAAGGTAGATTCACTTGAATCAACTAGTTAATTAATGACTTATTGTTAAATAGGGGGTGTACATTTGATTGAGTCTAGTTAAGTAAAAAAAATCATGTTATTTGAGTTGAAGAATCATATTTATAATATTAAAATGAAGGATTAATTGAAGAAAATAGAAAATCATGTAAAATTAAGGGACTAAATTGAAAAATTAAAAAGTAGTTATCAAAATGAAGAATTGAAGATACATAGTTATTCTAAAATGGTTTAGGAGTATTGGTTCAAATTTGGTAAAAGATGGACTTAAAATGAACACGGAATTGAAGCAATACGAAATCATGCAAAGTTGAGGGACTAAATTGAAAAAAATAAAAAAATTTGTTATCAAAAAATAAAAATTGAAGATACATAGGTGTTTGAAAATGTTTTAGGAGCACATGGCTCAAAATTTGTAAAAATAAAATACTTAAAATGAAGAGGAGTTGAAGGAGTAATAGAATCATATAAAGTTGAAGGACTAAGTTTAAAAAATATTAAATTCGTTATGAAAAATAGGACTTAAAGATACATAGATATTATACAATGATTTAACGGCATGCGGTTTAAATTTGGTTAAAAAATTAAGTTAACTTAACAAAAAATTCAGCAAAAAAATTCGGTTTTTTGAATGACTCAGAAATTTTAAATTCCAACTTGATTTGAACTCGGAAACTGACTTGAATAACTTGAAATAAAAAAAAAATCTATTTTTCAAATCGAGTTGAACTTTGTTAACCCTAATCACTTACCATAGTTCCTTCACTGCTTTTAGAAGTTAGAACACTTGTATATCCTCAGGGTCGGGGCTAGGACGTTAGAGGTCATGTGCAAATTCTTAAAAAGATGCCCTTTTTCGTAAAGTGAGTTAGACCCAAAAAAATGAGATAAGTTTTACAGTTGTAGCATAGTACTAATTATTGGTATTTCCCATATTTTCTTTCGAAAAAATCTTTTTGGGCTCCTTCTTGATAGTTTAATCATCTATGGTAATACCAATAACTTCATTGTGAACTTTTTGGGACCCTTGCTATTCCGGGGCCATGTTCTATCACGCACATTGATCATGCCTAGCCCCACCTCTGTATATCCTCGAAGATACGACTTATTGATCTCATTGGATTTTTCAGATTCTTTGAAATATTCATCTCCAAAAGTTGTCTTGTGTACATTTTATCAATCAGTAATTCTGGGGGTTGAAACAATAAATAATCCATTGTTTAAAAAACATAAAGACTAGTATTGGTACCTTGAAGAAAATTGCCAAGCTTTCCGATGTTTGCAGCAACAGACTTGTTGAGATCCTCACCGATCCAAACAGGGCAAACGCAGATACAAACAATGAGAGAAGCACACCTACCAACTAAGATGGTCGATAACCTCTCATGTGTTGGGAAATAAACCAAGTACAAGTAATTTCCCTATTACCAGATTAGTGAGAATACGAAATAAAAGCGGAAAAATAATACCCGAAATTGATAACGGAGTTCAGCCAATTGTGCTTACGTCTCCGGACTGCTGCAGATCTTTTACTAAGAGAGAAAATTTACAGGTGTTTACAAAACACTCACTACTCACAAGAAAGCTCTCTAGTATTGGGAGAAAGAAATGATTTTTGGAATAGTATTGAAGCTAAATGAGCTAGGGTATTTATAGTTGAAACTTAAGGACTTAATCTTGTAAATACCCTAAAACCTAGGGATTAATTGTGATTATCCCATTATCATTTTTCAACAAACATCTACCAAACTTTGAAAAACTATTTTTCAAAGAAACATTTACCAAACTTTGAAAACCATTTTTTCAAAGTTGGTTACCAAACTTGAAAACCATTTTAATACTTTCAACAATCTCCCACTTGAAGACTGATTTTAATCTGTCTTCACACCTCGATCAATGCAACAACTTTTCTAGTCTTGTTACTCTAGCATGCCAACTGAAGTTGAACACAACTTCAGTTTGTCTGTAGTCACCGTCTTTGTCAACATATCTGCCGGATTTTGAGCTCCACTGATCTTTTCAAGTTTCAAAATCTCATCTTCCAGAAGAGACCGGATAAAATGATATCGCAATTGTATGTGCTTTGTCCTGGAATGAAAAGACAGATTCTTTGCTAGATGTATAGCACTTTGACTGTCGCAATACAAGACATTGTTTTCTTGTTTCTTGCCTAACTCTTCCAAGAAACTTTGGAGCCAAACCATCTCCTTGCTAGCTTCCGTAACAGCGACATATTCTGCTTCAGTTGTGGAGAGAGCAACTATCTTCTGTAGTTGAGAAACCCAACTCACTGCGGTTCCTCCTAGAGTATAGACATACCCTGTAGTGCTCCTTCTGATGTCGTCATTTCCGGCTAAGTCAGCATCTACATAGCCTGTCAGTATCGTATCTCCACCTTTGAAACAAAGTGCTTTGTTTGTGGTACCCCGCAGATATCTGAGGATCCATTTGACTACTTCCCAGTGTACCTTGCCCGGATTATTCATGTACCTGCTAACAGCTCCCACTGCTTGAGCAATATCTGGTCTGGTACAAACCATGGCATACATCAGACTTCCAATCGTTGAGGCGTATGACACCTTCACCATGTGTGCACGTTCTTCCTCCGTCTTTGGTGACTGTTCTTTGGAGAGTCTAAAATGAACACCTAAAGGTGTACTTATTGGTTTAGCATCTTGCATGTTGAACCTGGAGAGTACTTTGTTGATGTACTCAGCCTGTGATAATATCAAAGTCCCTGACTTTGTGTCTCTCTTGATCCTCATCCCAAGAATTTGCTTTGCAGCGCCCAGATCCTTCATAGCAAACTGCTTTGACAATTTTTGCTTCAAGTTTATAATCTCTTGCATGTCTAAGCCTGGAACGAGCATGTCATCAACGTACAACAATAAAATAATGAAGCTATTGTCGAACCTCTTGATGTAGCAACAATGATCTGCTTGGCATCTGGTAAAACCACTGCTACTCATGAAACTATCGAACTTCTTATACCACTGTCTAGGAGCTTGTTTTAAACCATACAAGCTCTTCTTCAACCTGCATACCAGGTTTTTCTTGTCTGCCTCTATGAAGCCTTCTGGCTGCCTCATATAGATTTCTTCCTCCAAATCACCATGAAGGAAAACTGTCTTTACATCTAACTGCTCAAGATGTAAATTCTCTGCAGCTACAATTTTCAACACCAGTCTGATTGTAGACAGTTTCACGACTGGAGAGAAAATTTCATTGTAGTCAATACCTTCTTTTTGCTGAAAACCTTTGACAACCATTCTCGCTTTGTAGCGTTTTCTCCCATCATGCTCTTCTTTGATCCTGTAAATCCACTTGTTGTGAAGTGCTTTCTTGCATGGTGGTAATTCAGCTAATTCCTACGTCTGATTTGACAAAAGCGAGTCCATCTCATCTTTCATGGAAGACTCCCACTTGACTGAATCCTCCACTTGCATTGCTTCATCATAGCACTCTGGTTCACCATTGTCAGTCAGCAACAAGTAGTGCAAAGAAGGAGAATACCGTTGGGTTGGTTTAGGAATTCTGGAGGAGCGTCTTAGTTCCGGTGTGCCTGGTTCTTCTTGAACTGCTTCAGGACTGATCTGAATATCATTTCCAGAAATCTCCTCAAACTCAGCAAATTCCTTTGTTTCAGCTTTGGTATTGGAGCTGCTTGATTCTACAGTTGACCTGTCTTTGTACATCACATTCTCATTGAAAATGACATCTCTGCTTCTAATGATCTTCCGATTTTCATAGTCCCAAAACCGGTAACCGAACTCATCACCGCCGTAACCAACAAAGACACATTTGTTGGACTTAGCATCAAGTTTACTTCTTTCAGCAGAGTCTATGTGTACATAAGAAATACAACCAAACACTCTTAAGTGTGAAAGGTTTATTTCTTTCTTGCTCCAAACTTCCTCTGGTATTCTGCCATCCAAATGAACTGAGGGCCCACGGTTGATCAGGTAAGCTGCAATGTTAATAGCTTCAGCCCATAGAAAATTTGGGCAATCCAGCATGTATCCTCATGCTTCTGGCACGTTCATTCAGAGTTCTGTTCATGCGCTCTGCTACGTCATTCTACTGCGATGTCATGGGAATTGTTGTCTCCATCTTGATCCCATTGTTTGCGCAAAAATCTCTGAATCTCCTATTTCTGTACTCTCCTCCATTGTCAGACCTCAACCGCTTGACTTTCATACCATTCTCATTTTCCACCATGGCCTTCCATTTTCTGAAGGTATCAAAGACTTCTGATTTTTTCTTCAGAAAATAAACCCACACCTTCCTTGTAGAATCATCGATGAAGGTGACATAATATAATGAGCCTGCAAGAGATGGAACTGGAGATGGTCCCCATACATCAATATGAACTAACTCTAACTTTTCAGCCTTGGGTGTCTTACCAATCTTTGCAAAGCTGACTTTCTTTTTGTTTGCCAAAGATGCAATCCTCGCATAGTCCGACATCTACATTCTTTAGATCCGGCAGCTTCCCCTTTGACAAAAGTGTCTTCATCCCTTTCTCGCTCATATGGCCAAGCCTTTGGTGCCATAGGTTTGATTTTCTATCAGCATCTGCTACTGCAATGATATTTTCTAAATTTGAGGTTACATAGAGAGTACCAGTCTTCTTACCACAAGCAATGACAAGTGCTCCTTTGGTAATCTTCCATTCACAACCTGAAAAGGTTGTACTGTATCCTTCTCCATCAAGCTGTCCTACAGAAATCAAATTTCTTTTGAGACCAGGAATATGTCTCACTCCTGTCAGCTTCCAGGTGGTCTGGTTTGGCAGCTTTAGTCGGATGTCTCCTTTTCCGACGATCTTCAAGGTTTCATCATCAGCAAGATGAACCTTCCCAAAATCACCACTGACATAGTTCTCCATGATTTCTTGGCATGGCGTGGAGTGGAAAGATGCCCCTGAATCCAAAATCCATGATTCAATCGGACTGTTGACGCTTAAAATCATGGCATCACCTGTCTCCTCCGTCATGTTGGCATATTCCTGTGCGCCGGTATTTTTCTTCGGTGCTCGGCAATCTCTTTTGAAGTGGCCCTTCTTGCCGCAATTATAACAGGTAAAATCTTTATTTCCTGTTCTTAATTTTCCCCTTCTGGATTTCGATCTGCCACGATTTGAATTTCTTTCTAAAGTTCTCCCTCTGGACTCCGTGTGCAAGGCTGAGGAGGTTGATGCTTCACCCGATTCTCTCCGTCGAATTTCTTCACTCAGTACCAGATCCCGAACATCGTCAAATTTTAATTTGTTGTTTCCCGATGAACTGCTGATTGCTGTAATAGTAGCATTCCAACTGTCTGGTAAAGATGATAAGAGAATTAAAGCTCGAACTTCATCATCAAATTCAATTTCCACTGAACTCATCACTGAACTCAACTGGGTTGTGATTGTGTTGAGTTCATTTAGGTGTTGTGCCACCGATGCCCCTTCCGTCATCCGTAAATTGAATAATCGCCTCATCAAATGAACTTTGTTTGAGGCCGATGGCTTCTCATACATACTGGAGAGAGTCGTCATAAGACCCGCCGTGGTCTTTTCCTTTGCTATGTTGAAAGCAACATTGCGGGATAACGTCAGTCGGATAACTCCGAGGGCTTGTCTGTCGAGAAGAGCACAGTCTTCATTCTTCATTCTTCATGACCTCTGGTTGTTTTCCTGAGAGGGGTTGATATAGATTTTTCTGGTATAGAAAATCTTCAATTTGCATCTTCCAAAATCCAAAGTCCGCACCATCGAACTTTTCAATTTTCACCTTCCCTTCGTCCGCAGC